TGATTAGTTTATTATCTTTTCGCTTTTTCATTTAGATATCTCGATGTTGATTTTGCCAGCTGAGTGCGAGCAGATCACACTGTAAGGATTTCTCTGTGATCATCACATAAACTCCTTTGCTGTAACTAAATGAGTTTGTGAGGAGTAAAAATATCTGGAATCCAATAAATGACAACATAAACAATGCCAGCCGCCTGAGCCGTGCTCAGAGCTCATTGCTTCAGGTCTGCACTGGGACATACATCCGTGCTTATTACTTTACGTTTTCAGAACCACCTCCTCAGCTTTGTGAACGATCAGAGGCAAAGAATCCAGTGCAGCCTGAATCTTATTGATGACAGCTGTTATTAACCACTGAGTGCGGTGGTGAGTAAATCTCTGTCACCGTGCTTAATTTGTTGTGGACTTTGGAGGTGGATGGCAGATACAGTTGTCATGCTGAGTAATACACCTTCCTGCTAATCTGTGTCTTGTGATATAAGACCATGGAAGCAATTTAGCAGGCAGGACGTGTGAGGCTCGGGCGGACTCTTCAGGATGGCAGGTTGGTGAGTTCAGAATCAATAAACCAGTTCAGGAAGATTCTTCATAATTCTGTCACTACTGTTCACACTTCTCCTCTGCAGCAACACCAGACGGAGTCTCGACAGGCTGAAATGTAACAACACTTTAAATTGACACTGACTTCATTAGAGCAGAAAATTAAACTGATATATTTCACTCCAATCTTTTCAGCGCATTTCGTCCCTTGCATGATATTTAACTTTAGCCTACATGTCCCACAGTGCCTTCTGCCTGTTCAGTGGCACTTTATTGGTTGGCAGTTCTCTTTATCCTTTCTTAATAATACCACAGAAATGATATGAAAACCTAAGTGAATAAGTCTGTTATGGTGAAGAAGCAACTGCATTCCTGCTCCGGCCAGATGTCACCCTCACAAGCTCTAGAAGTGCTTTGATTTTCAAATGACAATAATTATACTAAACTTTATCTATTAATGCCAAAAATATCTTAAAATGAAGTTAGTACCTTTTATTAACCCTTAGATGCACACGTGGGGTCAAAAATGACCCCACGGGTTGTTTTTCTTCAAAATCTTTAAAATGAAAAGTTGTAATTAATTCATATTCCAGGTATTCCTCATAAAATATGTTTGTAACATGAGGCCATTTGCATTTTTATTTATTTTTTCATTAATTTAAAGAAAATGCTGTTTTTGTATCACTACCCCACTCTTCCACAAGTGGGGTCAAAAATGACCCCAAGCAGTTCCTATGAAACTTTCATTCTTAGCAACTCTGACTGTCAAACTTACACTTCTAAAGGATCAGGAATTAATTTTTACACAGTAACATATATGATTTATAGTCAGGGCTGCACATAAGTGGTCTGCAGGTGCGCATTGGCTGTCAAAAAAAAAGTATTCCCAGAAATTCTGAGAATATGCGTTTCTTTTGCGGTGGAGGAACACCAAAGTAATTGCTTACGGAGCTTCTTCAACATCTTTAAGAGTTCTGAACAAATGCCTGTCCTCCTCCAGAACATCTAATGTACACAAACGAGCGTTCCAACTTCTTATCTGGTATGCATCTTTTATTTTGACAGTGAATGTGCACATGCGGACCATTTATGTGCAGCCCTGTTTATAGTTTCCTGTGCATTTCAAACATTGTCCTTTCTGATGTTTTTTTTAAATATCTAAAGTAACATGGCTGCTATGAGGCCAGCTAGGATCCCTGTGGCCCTACAAATGATCCAGGATGGATGGGATGAAGAGCCCATCGGAGGCATTGACTCGGACATCGGACATCTCAGATATAGAGGACCCAGACTATTGTCCCCCCCACTGAACAAGGCCAGTTAGATACAGAGGAGTCCTCTGATGAGGAAATGGATATTGAGTCTAACAGAATGAGCCCCTCTTACTGCTCTAGTCACAATATTCTGAATTAGTCGCCCAGGGCTTGCACCTGGGTTTAGTACTGTCTCCCCAATAGATGCATGGAAGATGTTCATGTCTGATAATATAATAGAAGAGGTGCTGACATGCACAAACATGGAGGCACAAAGAGTAGC